GGGCCTCTTAATGTAGCCAAGGATCTCAAACATGAGTTAATTCTGTTTCTGTATGCCCTTCAAGGCAGGTAGAAGCAGCCATCTTACTCAAGTCTTGATAGTCCTTATTTCTATCACAACTTTACAATACAGCAGCCACTTGTTCTGTCCAAGGCTTTGGTTTCCATAGCTACAGTAGTCCGCCTTATCCACACTTTTATTTTCAGCAGTTTCAGTTACCCGTCAACCATATTTCAAAAATATTAAATTAAAAATTCCAGAAATAAACATTCTATACATTTTTAATTGTTCACCATTCTGGGTAGCATGATGAAATCTTGAACTGTCTCACTCCCTCCCTGCCTGGACATGAATCATCCCTTTGTCCAATGTCTCCACACTTGTACACACTTTAATCACTTAGTAGCATCTCTGTTATCAGATCAGCAGCCATGGTATCTCAAGGCTTGTGTTCAAATAACCCTACCAGGCAAACTTAATAATGGCCCCAAAGTGCACGAGTAGTGATGCTGGTAGTTCAGATATGCCACAGAGAAGCCATAAAGTGCTTTGTTTTAGTAAAAGGGTAAAAGTTCTCAACTTAGGGGGGGGGAGTGTCATGCTGAGGTTGCTAAGATCTACAGTAGGAATGTGTCTTCTATGGGTGCAATTGTGAAGGAAAGAGAAAGTCATGCTAGTTTTGCTGTCGCACCTCAAACTGCAAAAGTTTATAGCCACAGTGCATAATAAATGCTTAGTTAAGGTGGAATTGGTATTAATTTGTGGGTGGAGGAAGAACAGAAAATGTGTTCCTATTGATGCCAATGTGTTGAGCAAGAATGCATTGAGTCTATAGAAAAACTTCAGCAAGGGGTCACCTGAAACAAATAATACCCAGCCATTATTGCCAGATAGCCAGTAAGAAATTGTTACAGAGATTCAGGAATAGGATTGGCCTGCAAAATATTTTTTTATTTTTTTGCTATTTTGGGGTTGGGTGGAGAAAATATTCACATAATTTACATTTTATTATAGTAAATTGATATAATTGTTCTATTTTATTATTGGTTATTGTTGTTAATCTCTTATTGTACCTAATTTAAAAAACTTTATCATAGGTTTGTATGTATAGGGGAAAAAACATAGTATGTATAAGGTACTAGCCACGGTTTCAGGCATTTACTGGGAATCTGGGACCGTATCTATCCCCCACCAATAATGGGGAACTACTGTATTTCATTCTAGGTAACCATAGATGAAAATTCAACTATTTGCTGCATGGAAAACAGTATTCCACTTCCCACTGGTCATAAAATTATCACTCAACTAGGTCAACTAACCAATTCTATATTATCATCTTTGGAAGTTGATTTCCTGATCAAAATTTGGTGCTGAATACTATAGAAGGATGGCATACACCTCCTTTCTGCATTCTAAAAATATCGTAAGTACTTCACACTGACAGAACCCAAATTTGTGAGGTAATCTGAGAAATGTCATTTTTAGTCCTCCAGATACTTAATACTGGGGAGGGAAGGAGAATGTATCAAGGGGATAAGGATGGATTTGTAGAGCCAATAAACATCTAGCACACTAAGTGATTAATATTTAGGGTAGACTCTAGGATGTGAACTCCAAATATCTACTCTAATGATAAGTTAAAAATTTGTTCCCCAAATTCATCTGGCTGCTCTTTTGCCTCACAAACTCCCATACTTCTTTTCTTTCTAGAAAAAAGACCAGTTACCACTGTTACAATTATGTAATAATGACAGTAATAATTCAAGCATAATGAGAACACTTAAATGTGTTGAATAAATAAAGCTTTGTCGAGCAGTTATTTGTTGTTTTGTGACCATACAACATCTTTATTAAATTTTCACTATAAGAAATGAACTCAGAAAACATTTGAAATTCAACTATATATGGACAGATGATAAACCCTAACTACACAGCATGCTCATTAAAATGTAAGTGTATTTGATTCCACACTTATTAATCAGAACACAAGCCACATTCAGAGGTGAGGTGTGAATGTCATAAACATAATGCTACCTACCAGGCAAGACTCATAATCTACCCACCCTCTCATTACCAACTGGCTAGGTAACCACTACTCTTGAAAGACTGGTTCTTAGGATGGCTTCCTCACAGGGAGAAACTCAGTTTAAATATAATGCATCAGGGATGACAAAGAAGGAATTCCAACTGGATGTGTTTCTTTTTCCCAGTGGCAAATTCAAAAACAAAATTTAAAACTGAGAAAAAGAGCAACCTAACTGGCTTCTCTAAAATTATAAAAAAGGGACCCAGGGACACCTGGGGACTGACAGAGTCTACAAACTGTGCATATGGACTGGCAAAACACTCCTTGAACTCAGTCTTGTATTTAAATTGGGAAATACACAGTAATGTCAAGACCCTCTCTTTTTAGAAATGGCTGTATTATTTAAACCTTCCAAAAGTTTTAGTTTTAGAATGGCTTTTAAGTTGGACATCGTCTCTGTGTACATGTTCAATTACAATGTGACCTTCTGATGGCTGCATTAGATTATTATAATTAGGTAGATAGCCGACAAGTGATGTGTTTCACTGTGTGTTTACTCTCAAAGTAGATACATAAAGGACACATTCCCTGGGAAAATCTCACCAATCAGAATGGGAAAAATCAAATTCTAGTTAGAACTTCTATTTAAGACCAGACATATCTCTGAGGAATGAAGATATGAAAGAAAATTTGTTCCCATGTGGACATGTAAACATGACTTTATGTGGTAAAATGAAAAAGACAAAGAAAAAAGACCTAAGATCTGGGCTTCCCCACCCCTCACCCTGGTTTTTAACCAGTAGAAAGAAACTTTAATTTCTCAAAGGATATATCAAAACATAGACCTGTAAGTCTAGAAGAGCTCCAATGGGTAATTCAGATCACCCTTTGTGTACTACACAAAAGGTACTACTACCTAAAATTCCTGTTTATTACACATCTAGAGGTGGCTATGACCACCTTCTTCCTAAGTCACAAAGCCCTTTTAGTGATATATTCCAGAATCTGTCTTCATCTGGTAGTGGTTCTATACTTCAATTATAATTTTTAATTTAGATCTCTGAATCCCCTTCAGGAACACAGAGCTATGCTCCTTCCTACTATTTTTAAGTGTTAAAGAAATAACAGTAAAATTAAAAGCTGTGCCTTTTAATTCCCAGATGTGCCTTCCCTTTGTATTTTATATTAGGAAAACCAACTTCTAATACTTGCATAATCTGCAGTTTTGAAACAAGGAATCTGTTTCTATTTCTCTTCCTTCCACTATACTTCTGGTTTAGATGTCATCTGCCTAAAATACATAAGATTAAAAATGAATTCCAAATACACTATTAAGGACTTGTTCTCCAAGGTTACTTTGTCAAAGCTGCTTGCACGCAGAGTGGCAGGTGACCAATCTCATTACACAGGTTTCTTGGTTCCTGCTAGGATGCTGGGTTCCTGTGAACATAGCTCAGCATCACGGTGCCTCTCAAATCTGCAGACCTATGTTCCATCCAGCAGGATCCTAAGTCCAAGTCCCCCATGTCTGTGCTGAGCACCCACTTTACATCTCGTACACCTGTGGTCATCTTTCCTCAGTAAGGACGGGGCAAATGCGGCTGGCTGGGAGGAAGGCCATGGTGAGGAAAGGGCAGAGAGAGCGAAAACAGCTCAGCTTGATGCCACATTTTGGTGAAGGTAAGATTCAAAAGTTCAGTGCCAGTAGTCAATATGCAATGCCTAAATTATATTATCAAATGCATAAGACAGCAAAAATCACTTCCTCTTCTATGTTCTTTCTTATTTATAGGGAAACTGAGTTGCATATATAAAGCAAACCCATAAAATAAAATATTCCCAATAAACTACAAACCATGGCAAGATTCCATGTTCTAAAATGTGAATATAATAATCCATATGAAAGGAGTTTTAAAAGCCTAGAGAGTGCATGGAAAGAGAGAACAAGAAAGTGAATAAGTTAATAATGCTAACATTGAAATTAGTTATCAGTGTCCATCAGCAAAACAGAGTCAAGAATAACACAGAAAAGAGAAAAAAGAAGAGCTGAAGTCATCGACTCTATTGGAAAATGCACTGTTACACGCCTCGGGTGTTTCTACTCATTACAACTATTTAATAAAATCCCTGTTTTCTATATAAGAAAATATTTCTGTAGTTAGTGACAAAGTTTTATCAAAAAGAGGATGCAGCCCTGGCCAGTATGGCTCAGCGGTTAGAGCGTCAGCCCGCAGACCAGAGAGTCCCAGGTTTGGTTCCCGCTAAGGGCATGTACCTTGGTTGCAATTTGTCCCCGGCCCCAGTTGGGTTTGTGTGGGTGGCAACCAGTCGTGTGTCTCTCTCACATCAATGTTTCTCTCTCTCTCTTCCCACCTCTCTCTCTCCCGCTCTATCTGAAGATAAATGTAAAAAATGTCCTCTGGTGAGGATAAAAAAAAAAATAAGAGGATGCAATTCTTCTTCACTGATTTTCAGGTATGAGGGATGCAATTGAGGGTAATGGTACAGATATGACGAAAGCTACTGGAAAAGGTTATATTTATAACATCTTAAAATCATCTATGATAAAGAACCTTAAGGTATAGTGAGAACTGAATGATTTAAACATAAGAACACAAGCGCTCCCCCCACTTTATATTTCGGACAAAAAGAAGTATACAGAATTATAAAGGGTTAAAGCTTACATTTGAAAAGACAAACCTAAGAATAATTTAGAAGAAAATATGTTTTGTGTCTGGATCCAAAAGCTCTTCCAAAGGCAACTAATTTTTAAAGTAAAACTATGTTATCATAAAAAATAAAATTTTGGTTACCTATGTAACCAGAAATTATAGACACCCAAGTTCTAGTTTCATTACTTTTCTGCATTAGAAATTGGCAACAGAGTTTAGATCATTAACAACTGAATCAAAGAAATACATATCTAGCAGATAACTTATATTATAATAAACTGACTAACAAAAATGTCATTTTCCCCACAGCAGTAGTATATTTATTGTGCTGAAATCAGGTAGCAGGAAATGAATAGCTCTGGGGAGCCAGTACAGAATGTGCACAGATTTACAAATCTCTAGTCATTACACACTGAGCAGCAAAAAAAAAAACAGGTGTTGAATCCTCTTAGACCATACTATTATGTGCTGCAAATCTTCTGTAATTCTCATGACCGCATGCCTTTGGGGGTAAACGTGCATAATTTTAATGCACAGTAAGTATTTTATAGTTTACAAATATTCTGAAATAGTTGGTCTGCACAAATAGCATACATCCTGCACACGCAGTTTTGACATCTTGAGATACTTAGAAATAGTCATGCTTTTTTGCAGGGGTAGAGGGGTTACATTTTCTCTTCCCATAACGATTCCTATGCAACACCCCTAACAATCTATGTAATAAGACACTGTACAACTTCTCTTTCTTAGTGAATTTCCAGTTGTTCATTTATATTACATGAAATACTTCATTTGTAAATAGCAAATTTAACTTTCTGGTTCTGACTAGTCTCACTTTTATTCATTTTGTGTCTTAACAATTAACACCTTATAACAATCAAACACTGAATTTAATGATCTTTAGCACCAAGGAGTCAAGACTATTGCACCAAAATGGGTTTACACTTCATATCTAGTTAATAAATAAGATCTTGTAACTCTGTCACAAGGAAAGTATCACTCCAAAATTAAACACATTGAAAGAGAATAGTGTCACAGAAAAATTTGGTGTATGCCATTTGTAAAAAAGCAACAACAAAAAATACTAGTGGATTCAAAAGTCAATATTAAAATTTACATTAGAGGACTCCTTGATTTTTTAATTAAAATTTATTTAATTTTATGTGTTCTTTCCAACAGAAGAGGTAGGTATATTTCCACATATGAAAAATTGGTAACAGACACAAATCAAAACATTAAAAGTCTTATAAAAATCAACATACTGTCTTCTAACAGCGCATTAATGTGACTATTTTATGATGTTACTAATAAAGACATGAGTTGTTTCATGTTCCAATCAGACAATAATCTTAATTTTCATAATGTATTTCTGATAGTAATATAAGTATTGAAAGGCTCTGATTTTTCATCACAAAAACTGTTTCCCACAGTAATTTGTGCCACAAGTCATGGTGACCTTTGGGTCACCACACAGGAATTTACTGTAATTCTTTCTTATTTTCACCAACACCATCATCATCATCAAGCCTCTAAAAGTCTACAGAGATCATCAGATTTTCAAGATTTAATTACAACCAAAAGGTATATTCAGACCAGAGGTGGAGAGATTTGACCATTCCAGTCAGCAAATGAATTCAAATGTGCATATTTTAAAGTATCTGCATTTCCAGCTTTGGACCAGAAAATGTAAGGTAACTGGTTTTAACCAGTAGGTTAATTCATAATTTAGCCAAAATAAAAACTCATAAAGACTGTGCTGCTGTGATCATCAGACTGAATAACTGCGTATTAAATACATGAGAAATCTCATGCGTTAGACAAACAGATGTGAACAGAGGGAGCGCCTCCCAAGTCACATAACAAGTGCTTTGGTCTGGACAACATCAAAGCTAATAAAAAAAATGTTTAAAATAAAAACTTCATAAATAAAACATCTGGGTACTGTATTTAACACTTTACTCAATCTAAAGGTTACTAATACACAGGAGCACATTTGCCTTTTTCTCCCCACCCCAGACCCTCATTTGCTTCTGTTTTCCCTGAAATTTTATCTGAAATGGGAGCTTCTCCACTGTCAACAACAGTTAAGGCCCAGTTCAATTTACTCTCCTTTTGGTTTTCCATTTTTCTGCTTTTCTCCATTTTCTATCACCAGTTTTTCTGATTTGTTCACACCATTGGCTGAAATACCATTCACAGCTGTTTTTCCAGTTTTTGACTTTTTAGGCTCATTGTATGTCCGAACGTAGAAGTTGAGAAAGAGAAAGATGAAGCTAATGGTGTAGGCAATCAGAGCCCAGTGCATCCACTTCGGGAAGGGACAATCCGTGTAAAGAGACAGCGTTGTGTGTCCAATGGTCACAAAGAACTGAACCTGAAAAACAGAAACAAATGCATAGTAAACAACTTCAGAATCTTCTAGATAGCAAAGATAGGCTCAAATTTTGCCACATTGTCCAAAGTTTAATAGTTCCTGGCTCCCACACCCGGCCTCTTTTCATTCAGGTAGCTGCTCAAATGCCATCCCCTTACAAGGCTCTCTGATGACTAGAACCAAAGTACTTTCACCCAACTGGCCGTCTCAATCCCATTTACCAAAGGGTTTTTGTTTTGTGTGGGATTTTTTTTCTTTATCAGAATTCTAGCTATCAGAAATTGTCTTTTGCATTTGGTGACTTCTGGATCACCCATCTTTCCACTAGTACATAACTCCAAAGGGCAGGACCCTGTACTGCTCTGATGATTCTTGAGTCTTTGGCACAGTGTCCAGACCCAATGAATATCTGTTGGATAATGTTGAATAATATTATCTAATGAGAGGAAATATCAGTGGCCTCAGAAAGTAATAGTATTAGAAGCTCTTCAATTTTTTTGTTGCTCTCAAATTTTAGACTGATTTCTTTCCACAAAATTGTCAGCAAGCTGGTATATATACTTTAAAAAATGAACCTTCTTAAAGAAGAGCAAAGTATCTGAATTAACACTATCCTTTAAAAACTAAGATATTTGGTAAAACTCAGTAGGTAGTTGAGAATAAGTGCAAAAAGAGAGAATCACTTTCAACTTGAAGAGTTTCTAAAAGGAGAAAAGCCAATACTAAGATGCTTTTAATTAAGATGGGGCAAATCATTTTAAATTCTAATATATTAATAAATGAATGGTTCTCAAAATAAAAATTATGAATTTCATGGTGTTAACGAGTATTAAGTTTTTACAAGATTAACCTACATGAGTAACTGTTGTAAGCACTTCTGGCCTGAAAATACACAACCCTTCATAAAATTAACATCCTATTTGGAACAGACAGTTGTGGTTTCTCTTTTAAGGACAGCATTATCAATATTATTATATAAAATATAATTAAAATAATGTATTCCAGGTAAGCCCCAAATTTATATCACACTAAAAACTTTTTAAATTTTCCATGGCAAATCCAAATTTTAAGAACTTTTGATTTCACAATGGTTCTTAGAATCTGCATCACCGAAAAAGGGTGTGTCTGTGGGTGTGACTGAGTATGGCATTGCTCAAGAGGAGTCAGGTGCAGGTTCCACAAAATAGATATCAATAGTTCATGTGATTTTTATCATCTCTTCATTTTCTTGGGAATATTTACCAAGTACTAAGAGAAATGAATCACATAAACTTTATAAGTAGCTTACACAAAAACTGATGGAAGCTTCCTGCAGCATTTTAATTACAAATAAATCCTTCACACCCAACATTCCCCAAAAGCTGTGTTTCCTGTTTGGTTAGCCAGCTGTTTAGCAACTTAAAGCAGAAATGGATAATATTTCCAAATGTGATTCCACTGATAAAATTGTGTGTATGCTATGATTAAAGCACATTATAATAAATTCCAAGGCTTAAAGAATAGCTACCAGGTTGGTTTGGGATTTCCAGTTTGATTACTGGGCTAGTGCCTAGCTCTAAATATTACACTGAAGCACCCAAACGCTATATGAAGTCCTACTGGGGTATGTGCTGAAAACTGTCTGCTCTAAAGACTAGCAATTGAAAATACCTAGCTCTGCTCTCCAACAACTTGGTGTAGGAGAATTAAGAGGAGTTCCCTGGTCCTTGTTCCCTTCCTATACCCCAACCCTTCCTTTATTCTAAGTGTATGGGATTTGCTAACAAGGACTGAAAAATGAAAGAGGATGAAGAGAAATAATAATACTTCAAGTAAAAATTTTAAAAATAACCAGAGAAAGAAGTTATATTATTTTCCTAATCATATGAGTCTGTGTACTTTGTGGTGTGCTTAGATCTTTACTCATCCACTTCACAGATATTTTTAAAGAATATTTCTCTTAGAAAAGAGCTGGTCTAGTCTTTTAAAGACATTTAAAAGGCAAGTGGCCATAACCAGTAGGTTTATGAACAGGTAGCTCAGAGCTAAGCAGCCTCAACTCTCACAGCTGGAGCATAGAGTTGAATTTGTAATAGAAAATTGTCAAAAATCACTAAGCACTTTACAATTAATAAACTCAAACATTTTCAGTGTTGCACCAGAAGAAACTTTAGAGGTATTTAACTCACCAGCTGCAACATGGTCAGGTATCTTTTCCACCAAAGATACTTCTGAATCCATGGGCCAAACGCAGTTAACCCGTAGTATGAGTACATAATCACATGGATGAAGGAATTCAGCTGCGCTCCAAAAAATGCTTTAGAAAAACAGAGGTAATGACAAGATACATAAAATTTTATTAGGCAATAAACCATTTGGAAATAAATGAAATAAATGAGTCCTAACACTTAATCTTGAGTAAAGTTGTAAAATAGTACTAGTAGAAAAGCCTCTTCAGATCATGCTAGGTATTTTTAAAGTTTACACTCAGGCTTTTAACATATTTAAAAAATGGATGTTCTTCAAATGCAAAGGACTTTCAAAAGTAGTGAGCTTTCAAATGGGGTACCCCAGTAGTTTAAGTAGGCTCTAATCTAGAACTATTGCCTATATTACTTTTCATTCTATTATTCTTGGGGGGAAAAGTCATGGTACATATAATGGTTTAAGTAAATTTGTAAATGTCTCATTATTGCCTTAAATGTGCCAATATACATATCTACAAAAAAAAAAAAAACTTACTTCTTAGGCTTCTAAATAATTTTAAGTGGCAAGTAGACAGGTGAACTATACTATAATGACTTGTCCCATGGGTCCCATCAGAGGAATGGTTTATTTCCAGCTCAATAATGTGAATCAATTTCAATCTAGAGGCATTTGAAAAGCTACAGGCAGATCTTAGCCAAACTATGAATTCAGATGATCTTTAACATCAACAAGGCTATACATAACTTCCTCTGATTAAGAACCAACAGGCTAATTTAAGGCCTATTTTAGAGCAGGAGTGGGCTCTGGGCTTGGACTGGAAATGGAGCCTTCAGATTGAGAAGTTATACATTAATATCTTTTGGATGACAAGCACTAGAACTGCTCCCCATCAAAATATTATCTTCTACGTTTAGAATTACTTTATGCTCATCTCTGGGGCAAATCTTCAGGTGTTAAGGTAGTCACAGACAAAAAGCTAAAGATTTACTTTCTTGAAATTTCTTTAAAATGAAATTAACATAAAAATAATTTAATCATGAAAGCAAGTTAAATTGTAGACCAACTCAAATTCCCAGGTTTTCACTACTTTCCACTCAATATATTTACATAATTTAATACATGCAGAAATGTTTCTGAAAATGCTCACCTTGTCCCCCTGCGACCCACTTAATTCCAATCCACCACAATGTAAACATTGTACAGTGGTGATATACATGAAGGAAAGAGACTTGGTTGTTTTTCTTCCTTAGAATAAAAAATATCGTGTCCAAATATTCAATTCCTTTAGATACAAAGTACCACCATAGAGCAGCAGCTATCTGTAAAAAAACAGAAAAAGCTTGTTATTGACACCATCGTACAGTTTTCTACTCATTGCATATAAGTCCTAAATAATTTTCACTACACAAACTGTATGAGGCATGAAACTATTTTTGCATAAGTAGGTGTGAAATCTAGGCATCTATCCATGCAGGAAAAATGAAAAAGACAAGCATCCAAATCTGTATCTACTCTGTACCAACCATAAAGATAAAATTTCATGTTACCCAGTGGATCTCCAGAGTACCAAACTGCTGAATACAGAATAGACATTCACATTGCTATGTTTTTCAACTTAGTAGAGAAACTGAGGTATTTATTTTGTAAAGATACTTCAATTGTTGGTGCTTAGCCTATACTATACCTCATATTACTGCAAGTATGTTTCAAGTTAGCAACTGGTCTCTATTAGTGTTTCTCTCTTTCTCTCTCTCTCTCTCTCTCTCTCTCTCTCGCTCTCGCTCTCGCTCTCTCTCTCTCTTACACACACACACTTTAATATGTGCAACAAAGTACCTAATCACAGAAGTTTGCATTAGGCAGTAAAATCTTTAAAATGACAGACTGAAATAAATAGAAACAACAAACATTTCCTAGGTCATAAATATAATCCTGCTTACATGAATAAGTCTTTTCTTTTCCTGGGCTCTAATTAAGACACCAGATGGTACAGAAAGATTACTATACATGCTGAGATTAAGGAACCAAGGATCCAGTGAGAGGTGACCTCTGCATATATGTTTTTAAATGTTTTACAAGAATTCCACTATAATAGCAGAATTTTATCCATGCACCTGTTGGAAAACATGTTTTTTTTTGTTTGTTTTTCTTTTGAAAAACAAAATTATACAAAGTGTGAGCCAAAGAGAAAATAAAATCTTGTATTTACAGGTTGACAAGTATTTACTGAATTTGCTTGAGTAATAATATGGTTGAAATCAGGCTTGAAATTGTTCTCACAGCAACACAATATTTTAATATTCACTATTATGTTAGTACTTGAAAGTAACCATTTTAGCATAGTAAATTTTATCTGGAAGGTAAAACACAAAGTCTTATCCCTCCCCTCCCAATCTGGGCCTCTAAATTAGCCACAATTTATGAACAGTAATAAATAATTCCTCTTTCATTTGTAAACTGCATTGGATATCTTTGAATAGCTACATATATCAAAGTGAGAAATGATACTTCTTGGCTATAAGACAACAAATACAAAAACAAGTCTCTGAGTGAAATATTTATTCTACTACATCTAATATTAAGAGGAGAAGAGAGAGGGAGGAAAATTTCCCATGCAATCTGCGGCAAATCTCTGGTTCTTTTTTCCTCCTAGATTACAGTTCTCACAGTGACTAATTTTTGAAGAACTAACTGTTTATGCATGCCAAGAGGGTGGGTTCACAATTACCAGGGCAGTATTTTTAAACCTTTATCCTGAAAATAGTACTATGTTGTTTCACCCAAGGGGGTTTTCCTAAGTGCAACACTTTTTCCTTTTCCTCTCCCCAAACCATGCAAGATGCAAAAGTCAGCTCTGCTGAGGAGGTTTTCTGACAATCAGAAACATTTTCTTCCTAGCCAACAAATCTACATAAAGTACTCCCTTCATTCTCTCTCAGTCACACCACAGGCCTTATTTTCTCACTAACCATTCGTTTACATGACCAAAGAAAGCCTCTCTCACTCTTTACTGAATGTCAGCTCCATAAAGGCAGGGATCTCCTGTCTGTTCCACCTGTGTCCCCAATGTCCCTCACACTATCTGCATCTGATTGATGTCTAGTACACATATATTGAATGAAGAAAACAAATATGAAAACCAAAGGGGTGATTTTTTTTTCACATCAGCATGGAAGTCTTCTAACAGGGAAATGAAGACATGGATAAATCATGGTAAGTATATTGAGGCAGTCTGATGTTGGGTCTTGAAGAATATTGTTATTTATATTATCCAACCCCAAGGGTAAAAAGCTATTTTTTTTCAAGGGAAGCTACTACATATTATATAATTACTACATAGTTACGTGTAACATAAAACATAACATGTTTATATATGTTTTATGTATATATCATTTTAAATATGAACCGCAGTACACAAGAGTAGCTCAATACTTAATAAAATATTGTTTATTCCACTTAAGATAGTAATCTTACTAATGTAGGTGACTGGAAAACAAAATATAATATTCTATTACTATTGGTTTATTTTTCTGCGAATATAATAAAAACTGAGTCTATACCTATATAAACTGTGCTATATTTAATTTACTAAATATTACATGGTTTATAAAACATTTGTTTTTCTCCACACTTTCTTAACAAAAAATTAGAGTCTCTTTATGAATTTCTATTCTTGACCAAACACCAAAACCTAAAATATCTTTACATTAAACACTGATTTTTTTTTTTTAAGTACTGCATTCTAGTAATCCAACACATATTCACTCTCACACCACCAAATGAGAAACACTGGAGGTACGAAAACAGATTTTTAATTATGTGCTTTAAAAAAAAGCACGGCTTATTTGACCCAGTGATCCCACTTCTAGGATATACCCTAAGACGCCTGAAACACCAATCAGAAAGAATATATGTACCCCCATGTTTGTAGCAGCACTATTTACAATAGCTAAGATCTGGAAACAGCCCAAGTGTCCATCAGTAGACAAATGGATATAAAAGTTGTGGTACATATACACAATAGAGTACTATGCAGCTGTAAGAAAGAAAGATCTCTTATCCTTTGAGACAACATGGAGGGACCTGGAAAGTATTATTCTAAGCAAAACAAGCCAAGCAGAAAAAGACAAATACCACATGATCTCACTTATTTGCAGAATATAATGAACGTAACAGTCTGAGGAATAGGATAGACCCAGAGACGTGGAAGTAGGGTACAGACTGATAACCCTTGGAAGAGGGGGTGGTGGGGGGAGGGAAGAGATAAACCACAGAACTTATATGCATGTATGCATAACCAATGGACATGGACAACAAAGCCCGGGATGGGGTGGGGGGATGGGGAGGAGTGTGTCAATGGGGTAAAAAAGGAGAAACATCTGTAACAAAAATGAAATAAATATATATAAAAAATAAAAATAAAATAAATAAATAAATAAAAGCACGCTTTACTGACTCAAAACAATCCAGTACACTCTTACACTACATAAAAGCAGGTTTTTTATAGACTGGTGACCAAAAAAATCGGACCCACTTTGACTGGTTAAGAGTATTTTTAATGTACTTACCCTGACTTCATTAACATTATCAGAATAATCCACACTCTGGCAAATATAGCTATATCCTGCTTTATAAGATCCCATGAATAACTGGAAAAAAGCAAATAATATTTGGAGTAAAGTTTTAGTAGATACAGTATTTAAAAACACCAAATACAATATGTAATCTTTTAAATTATGTTAAAAAGCAGTATTATCTAAAAAATTTCAAGTGCATTACACATTTAATGTGTTGAAATATTTAAAATTTACTGTGTCAATTTATTCTAAAATTAAAATCTAAATTAAAAGTCAAATGTAGCCCAGCCAGTGTGGCTCAGTGGTTGAGCACTGACCCCTGCACCAAGAGGTCGCCAGTTCAATTCCTGGTCAGGGCACATGCCCAGGTTGTGGGCCAGATCCTCAGTGGGGGCATGCAGGAGTAGCCAATCGATGTTCTCTCTCTCATCGATGTTTCTCTCTCTCCCTCTCCCTTCCTCTCTCTCTCTCAAATCAATAAAGAAAAAATAAAATAAAATAAAAAGCACATGTAACTTTTGGACTGAGACATCAATTCTATCTACTTCATAATATTAAGAGAAATTTTGATTGACCATGACTCAGATCTAAGAGTTGTATTGACTTTCATTCTTGATCCAGAGTGCTATATATCTAACAAATGAGGTAAAAGCACCAAATCAATAAAAGTTTTTTTACCAAGTTGAGATTCTGTGGCCCAAGTTGTCAGTTAAAGAAAGATTTTTTTTTAAGGAGAGTACTATTCATTTTCCTGGCATCACCAGTCCAGTTCTCTGGGTTCATGCAGACTGTTAATGAAGAGTTTTTGGGGAAACACATTCCTTTCACTCTTAACTTAAAAAATGGCTGTGTCAATCTAGCCTTTAGGATTTCCCTTCAAAATGTCATGGAGAATTTGCTGGTGCCCAGAAAAGTATACAAGAATTAATAGCAATTGTTGTATAACACTGAACTCATTTTACTTCCAATCCAAAATACAATGACATTATGTAATAGGATTTAATTTGAAATTGGTATTTTATATCTGCATATTTTGATAAGTTACAAGTCTGAAACTGCTGAGTAAGAAATATAAATAAATATGCACAACTATGTACTGAGTGTTTAATATGTGCAAAACACTATGCAAAAGTTACCTCACTTTTATCTCTGATACCCTAGAAGGGAGGTATTTTCCCCATCTTATATGGAAATGAGTCTCAGAAAAGTTAAATAACTTCTAATGTCAGAACAGCTCATAAGAGTTATTTTAGAATCCGGTCTGTCTGCTTCAAAATTCCATTTTAAACACCTGTTCTATACCTTATGTATGTTTTATATTTTTGTTATCCAAAAATGGAAAATGTCAATAATATAAAATTTTCTTTTAGAGTAACTAACAGTTACCCTGGCCAGTTGGCTCAGTGGTTGGAGCATTGGCCCACGGACCAGAGAGTCCTGGGTTCAGTTCCTGATAAGGGCATGGACCTCGGTTGCAGTTTGTCCCCGGCCCTAGTTGGGGTTGTGTGGGTGGCGACCAGTCGATGTGCCTCTCTCACATCGATGTTTCTCTTTCTCTCTTCCCCACTCTATCCCTCCTGCTCTAGCTGAAGATAAATGCAAATATGTCCTCGCGTGAGGATACAAAAAAAAAAAGTAGAGTAAATAACAGTTACCTTGGGGTACACTGTTACAATGATGTTTTTACATATTCTCATTGTTTAATTTGCAGTAACCCTGGGGAATTATAAAAGTGAGTTTAATAAACCTACCTCTCTGAAGATAAAAAGATTAAGCAAAACCATTCCAAAATTATAGATAATGAGTACTAAGCGCATCTGAAAAGGTTCTCGGTCCTTCATCCACTTTGGACCCAGCCACACGAACAGGAGATAAAGAGTACTTATACAAAGTGTTGGCCATGGAGAATGCATCAGAGGCCAATTTTCCACACGTTTATCTACAGAGAGAAAACAACATAAAATTCATTAAACAATAGAAATATTTTATAAAATGAACTTATTAGGAATTATGTTTCAACTTAGTTTTCCTCTTTTGACCAAATACAGATCACTGTCCTTTGAGTCCCAACAAAAATACATGGCATAAAAACCAAAGAAAAAAGACTGATACTTGCGAGCAGCTTTTGAAAACGAAACTTTGTTTCACATGGCACACATTATGTTTTATAGAGAACCCAGAGAACAAAGATAAGAAATAAAGCTCACTAAACATATAGAACAAACTTGGGACAAGATGCAAAGTTAATGAAAGACTTCATAGACAGAAAATAAACATTTTAAAGAGAAACTTGTCTTTCATATCAAATGTGAATTTCTCAGTACAGTTTGGAAGCTGCTCCCTCCTATGTCTAGAGGAGATAATTCATAAACTGAAAAGGTGTGGAGCAATGAAAGCCATTTCCTGGGATATCTCTGGATCCTGAAGACAAAAGTACATTTATATTTGGGGGATTAAGTTAGAAATCATTATAGTTCTATAATTTATTTAAATGGTAATCATCATATTCAAGACATTTTTCTAACTTTTTCCTTGAGAACATATGTCTATTATTTTCATCCATAAATATAACCAATTTATGTGCTTTTCTCTAAAGCTATATACATCATTTATCTTGCATATATGTAAATATATAAATATAAAATGTGACTCATTATTTAACTTAAAGTGAATAACGTGTCCTTAATATTTTAATATGCATCCATGAATCAACTTTACAATAGTTCTGTCACAAGTAAAACATTTATAAGAGAAGCATGAAAATAAAACATGAGGTTAACAAAAATTAATTTTCTAATTCATTATAAGAAGATATTGAAATTAACATTTATATTTCTAAGGGCTAAACAGCATTTAAATGGTTGTGAAACTAATGTCTAGTTTATTCTTGCTAATGTAGAACGTTTCTATGTTCTACTTTCAGGAATCTTATATATTTTTAAAATAGTAAAAAAAAAAGGTCTACCTTTCAGCCAGTTCCTGAAGCTAACTGAAATAAGTTTAATTTACTTGCTCATTACAATGTCCACTATTTAAACTATTTTACTAAAACTATATATGCAAAGTAGCTCTGGATTCAATCATTATGTCTCAAAATACTTCACTTAAAAATAAATTAATCTGTTTCTATATACTGTCTGTAGAAAACAAGACCCAAGACAGAAACACAAGTAGAACACTATTTTACCAGTCTCCAAAGTCAGGAAGTAACACAGTAACTACGGCTTCTGTAACATCAGAGTTGTTGGAAAGGTGGAATAGTGTCTTGACATGTGAGAATGAGAAAAATGGATTTTATTTCATAGTGTACAGGAGGCCTATTATCTATCTATTCATGAAAATTATGGTTCTATCACTTAAATCAAAATGTATTCCAGAGTTAAAATAAACCAAAATACTTAAAAAAGATAGGAGGGAGAGTAAATCTTTCACAAAAAAGGAGGGAGTGGCTTTTTGTTTGAAGGCCACTGTGGTCCTATCAGTGATTGTTCACTTTACTTTCATGTTGTTGTATTATCCTTCTGTGACCACATCTTGCTATGCCAAAGGCCCCCTTAAAACATGGAGGTATTTATCTACTTAGATCTTTATTTTTCTAAATTTAGGACAAACCCCCTAACCCTTAAAGCCCTCTCTACTTCAGGTCACTTAAAGGGTTGCTGTGGTATGCTATGCCTACCCACACACTTGAGGGCAGGTACTGTGTTTTCCATGAGATTGATACACAGAGCAAAAGGACTCCTTTAAGGAATAATCTATGCAACAAAGAAAGGAAGATAAATTCATCTGTAAAGAGATTCTAATTTCTAACATCACAGATTATTTCTCACTCTTACCACACACAGAATTCCTACTGACTTCAAGGGAAGTTCTGAGAAGTAAAAAAAAAAAAAAAAATTAGAGAAATAGGTCCAAAATTTCCCTGAACTCAAGAATAAGTACAAATGTGTTCTCTTTGATGTATACTGTGGGTAACCCCTACAATTCTCTTGTTCAACAGAAAATTTTAAAGAGAAGACTAACAAGGAGAGAGAGAGAGAGAGAGAGAGAGAGAGAGAGAGAGAGAGAGAGAGAGAGGAGTAAGAAGCTGAGGATATGACAACAGGAAGCACTAACAGAGGCCAATAGAAGGGCAAAAAGGTGGAGGGAGTAGATAAGAACTAACAGATATCAGAGAAATCATGCCAGACCATCAGCAGTTTTCATGCCAGCTCTGCTACTGTGCACAGGGCACAACGTCTTCAGGTCCTTCATCTACAAAATCTGATAGACAGGTGAACTAGATTAGTGCTTCTCCAACTTTAATGAAAAAAGGAATCAACTGGGGGAGGGGATTGTTAAAATGCAGGTTCTGACTCAGTAGGTCTGGGGCGTAGCCCATTTTTAGGAAGATTCTGTATTTTCTAGAAAGCTTCAACTAATGCTATGCTAATATTCCATGGACCACCTTTTGAATACCAAGAAATTAGGTGATCCCTTAGGTTTGAATTTTAACTTCTGAAAATTGCTACTTTTAAAAATAATAATTAGGCCCATTTTGCACGTGTTTCTGTCCCATTTGGAACACTCGTCACACTGTTCAGTGACCTTCCTTTAAAATGTAATCTCCCTGAAGGCAGGGGCTGGGTCTTTCATTCTTATATTGCAAGGCTTATCAAGGTGCTTAAACATTTATTTTATAAATAAATGAGGAGTGGACTTTTTTCATATTAGTCCTTTATTCTCTATCCTTTCAGTGAAACCCAACTGCACACTTACAAATGCTCAAGGTTTCTTCAGTGTACAGTAAGCCCTTCCTACAGCTCTTTCCAGATCTCCCTCTATGTTGGCATACAACTTTAACCTGAAGTCAACAACACTTCAACCCAGTACTGAGTAAGTTCATGTGTGCTCTGTAAAGCTCAATGTCTTTAATGCACTGCTTTCTCCAGGGTAAAAAAGCAATGCCCTTACTCCTTTGCCCAACAACACAAGTCAAGCATTCATGCAGCAACCACTTAGCAAACCCTGTGTTCAGTCCACAAAGGGCCACATTTCACAGATCCTTCTCAAATTAGCCCTCCCACTTCTTAAAAACTCCACCTCCAATGATTATTATGGAAGTTGTAGTAATTGTCAATGACCTGAACAACAGCATAACAATTCCCATCCTATGATATTTCCATAAAATTTCTCCATGTCTTTGAAGTTATTTGTGTCCTTCTGAATTTACTTGCATTAATATTTCCTTTAGTGCTTCTGACAACATTAAAATATCCTATGCTTCTTCTGTATGTTCCCTTTTCTGCCACAAAGAAGGACTGAGTGCACCACAATAGTGTCATACAACGATATGAAAATCCACTATTACTAACAGATCCCCTCAAGTCTTGAACCAAAAAAAAAAGATAAGGGATTAGAACAGTCAAGAAAAATGATAAGTACTGAAGCTTTATATACTTTATATTACCTTAAAATAAAATAGAATAGCCAAAAAACATATTTACATAGCCCATGGTCACAGACAACAGTGTGGTGAAGGCCAGGGGAGGGGGTGGCTAGGGCTGGGAAGCAGGGATGTGACAAAGAGGGAAAATGAGGGACATCTATAATAGTGTCAACAATAAAAAAATATATATATATTTTTTTGTTAATCCTCACCTGAGGATATTTTTCCACCCATGGGGACCAAGACAAATCTGCAATCCAAGTACACGTGCCCTTGACCAAGAATCAAACCACAACCCTTTGGTCTTCTGGCAACATTCTAATGGCTGAGCCAAACCAGCCAGGGCTAAAAATAATTTTTTTGAATGAATTATCTAGTTTTTCATTAACTCAAAAGTTTAAATAACTTTTTATACTGCCTTTCTTCCAAGAAAGATGTGTGCATTTGCTTGCCTTTTTTGTCCCCCCCTCCAAGGTTTATTGAGAAATAATATACATATATCACTGTATAAGTTTAAGAAATACAACATGATGATTTGATTTATATATATTGTGAAATAATTAACATAAAAAGTACAGCTAACATCCATCTCCTCATACAGCTACAGTAAAGAGAAACGAAAAAGGAAAAAGATTTTCTCCTTATGATGAGAACTCCTAGGATTTACTCTCAGCTTTCCTGTATATGACACAGCAGTGTTAGCTGTGGTCATCATGGTACATGACATCCCTAGTACTTACGTATCTTATAACTGGAAGTTTGTACCTTTTGACCACCTTCCTTTAATTCATCCTCCTATCATTCCCCACCTCTGGTAACCAAAATTCTGATTTCTTTCTCCAAATTGTTTTTGTTTTTGTTTTTTTGGGGGGTGGATAACGTATTTTAAAGATCAATTATAAATTAAGTGTCCTACTCATTTAAGTTACACTGCATCCACATGTAGGTTACGCATATTAAAGAAAATGTATTTCTAGTTTGTTGTCCATATCCTAATCCTACACAGTTACAGGTGGGATTCAATACCATGAATTTATTAGGAGGGAAAAAGGGAGAAAAAATTCTATGAAAACACCCTGTCCCTCCTGCCACCACTAGAGTCAAATTCTGTTATCAAGGAGTATCAAGATTCAAATGGCTTTTATGTAAACTTCTTGGGAATTATTGAAAAGCATTTTTGGAGGGGATCAATGTGGCACAAATATAAACTGACTCGAGTCAATGTCTGTCCAATTGTCTTATTTTTATATTTTATATTAATTAGTTTATTAACATGTTTATGCCTTCATGTCTTAGCAATTTTGCTCTTATTTTGAGCCTATTTATTAATAATTTTAAGCCTTTCTGGTTTAGATCATTGTAAACCTTTATCTAAACTAGAGGTGTAGGATTTTAGATTTAGAAATCATCCCTTTATCTTAAAAATGAGATTCAAGGAGGTTAAGAGACTTGCCCAAGAAAGTGGAGCAAGAGCCTCATGTGTCCTGGCAGCTATTCCAGAATCACTCAGT